GCTATAGTGTAGACATAGCCATAATGTATCTGCCCCATTGTAACCCACTAGACACCACTCCTCTTCCAGAGCTGAGACAGAACCCGAGTCCTGTCTCTCTCTCTCTCTCTCTTTGCAGTTAGTAAGAAAGTTAAAAATGTATATTACAATTTTAAGGCTAACCAGTGTCCCTTAAGTGATTTGTCACAAGATGTGAGAATATGTTAATATTAGAGCTGAGTGGGTCTAATATTTATTTAAACTTTCTTTTATACAGAAATTAGATACAGTGCTCCTTTCAGCTACTTGCAAAGTTACCTGCCAAAAATGCTACCGTTTTCCAGTGCATTAGTAGCCCTAGAAAGAGGGGATATATGTGTGTGGGAGGACAAACAGAATTGGTCCCCTCCAATTTGCTGTTTGGTTTGTACTGAGCATGCTCATTAACACCGCTGAAGCCGCTGTCCTCAGTCTGGTCCCCCATGCTGTCACTCTCTTCCCTCCCAACAATTAGGGCATGCACAGGTCAGCCCGCCCCATCAAAATCTGAAATGGCACTCCTGACTCAACTGTCCTATGGAAAGGGTCTGAGATGCCTGGCACAGGGCAGCAGCAGAGTTGGTTCCCACACACTCACCACAGCAGCCTGCTCAGCTTCCCCACCCATCTCCCAGTTCACTGAGCTCTGCTTCACCACAGCAGTGGCAAGCAGAGAAACCCGGCCTCAGAGCATTCTGGTGGAGTGGAGCGCAGCAGGCTGGGAGATGGGCAATGAGTGCAGAGTGGAGCAAGTTGCGAGGTTGCTTTAGCTCCTGCCATTATGGTGACTACAGGAGGACCCAATCCCTGCCCCAGCTTGCATCACTCATGGGGGGAGAGGGGCTTTGGGAAAGGGATGTAATGGAAGTGGGAGGGTGGCAAAGCAGGGGTTAGGTGGGGGCTGAACAGGGACAGGAGCGGAGTGAGGGCAGGGCACAAGCAGAAGCAGCATAGGGGCAGGTTAGGGGGGCAGACTTGCCCTGGCCCCACGTCTCCCTAGGGACAGCCCTATGTTTGGCAATGTGCATGAGCATTCTCCATCCTGGAAAAGGAGAGTGTAGTGTTTGTGGATCATTTATCGTGCTTAATAAGAACACTAAGCAGTGTTCCAAGTATGGCAATAGGAACAAGTATTTCATTAGTAACAAGGTTCAGAAACCTCTCACAGAGGGGTCCCCAAACTATCATCTGGGGACAACTTTCACTGAAGAGGGCTAGATCTAGAACCTGAGCCCTTATAACAAAAGGCTCTATATCTTCTAACCTGATCTCTAGTGCTCTACGAAACACAAAATTTGTATCCCCATCTGATCTGCAACTATGGTCCAGGGATTACCACCTATGTGCAGGGCCCTCTCCCTGAAACAGCCAGTCTCCTTGACTGAAATTAGACTGAAACCAGGACCTTCAAAGTGAAAGCTTCTGTATCTCAGTCTAGGGACATTAAATACTGGTTAAGTGAATAATCAACCTCAAGGATTCTTATCGCTTACCTGATTATTTTACTGTTGCCGAGGATGGAGCCAGCAGCCTGTCAGGCAGGCAGCTGGGGCCACCCGTGGTGCTATTTTTAGTACCAAGGTGCCCTGGGGACCAGGACTGTGGTACTAAAAACAGCACTGTAGGCAGCCTCTGCTGCAGTCCTGCCACATGGTCCTGCCCTGGGAGCAGCTGGGGGGCCGGACTGTGGTGGCTTCTGTAGCTGGGACTGCAGAACTAAAAATAGGACCGCGGTCCCAGCAAACTGTTTTCCTCATTGAAAGTAGAAAGTTACGAAAGGGGTAGAGAGAGAACTAGAGGAAGGGGCTTGTGCTGAGAGAAAGGGAGGCCAGGGCAGGAGAAGAAAGGGGCAGGCACTAAGGGGCAGGGTGCAGAAGAGACAAATGCCAGGGGGTCAAGAGGAGACAATGAGAAAAAGGGCAGGAGAGGGGGCGGGAAGGTGTCAGTGGGAGTGGGGAAACAGGGTGATGCAAGGAGAGGGGCAGTGGTGGCAAGCAGGAAGAAGAGGAGAGGGGAGGAGTGGGTGCCAGAAGAAGAGGGGTTGAAAGGAGAGTGGGCATGAGAAAGGCAGGAGATGGAGCAAGGCATGTGTGAGGGCTCAGAGGGGCATGAGGGGAACTGGGGCAGGAGGTGGTGGCATCAGGGAGAAAGCGGGCAAGGAGGGTAGGGGCAGTGAGCAAAGGGGGAGGCACCAGGAAGGTGCAGGGGTAAGAGAAGGTGCAGGTGCCAGAGTATTGTGGGGGGTTAAGCAGCAGGGCAGACACCTGGGCTATGTCTACACTGGCGTGATCTTGTGCAAAAACTCTTCAGTGCAAGAGTTCTTGCCTTAAAGTAGCTGCGCAAGAGAGCGTCTACACTGGCATGTGCTTTTGCACAAGAGCATCCTTGCCAGTGTAGACGCTCTCTTGCGCAAGAAAGCTCCAATGGCCATTTTAACCAGTGGGCTTTCTTGCGCAAGAAATTCGTGTTGCCTGTCTACACTGGCCTCTTGCGCAAGAACAGTTGTGCAAAAGGGCTTATTCCTGAGTGGGAACATCTGAGTTCTGGCGCAAGAAGCCCTGATTTCATACAGCAGAATGTCAGATTATGTGCCCAAGAACACACAGCCAGTGTAGACAGGCAGCAAGTTTTTGCGCAAGATCGCGCCAGTGTAGACACAGCCCTGGAGAGGAGGGTTGGGCACCAGAGGAGAGAGGCATGGCAGTGAGGGAATGGGGAAGAGGCAGTTGATCAGAGCGGGGAACTAGAGGAGGTATAGGCACAGGAGGAAGGGAAGATGCAGGGGTCAAGGAGGATGGGGCTGGGCCCCAAAAAGCTGAGGGGAGCGAGAAGGGCAGGAGCCAGGACAGCAGAGGAGGGCGAGGGGAGGCTGGGAGACATGGCAGTGAGGGGAAAGGGAGCGGGTCATAGCTTGGGTTGCGGTGGCACACACCGGACAAGCGACGGCGACCTCAGTACTGGCGCAAAAACAAAACTCCCTGGCTCAGGGGCGGGGCGCCTGGGAGGGGACGCGGCCCAACACGGAGCTGGGCGCCAGGCGAGACGCGCGGGCTGGGGCCGGCGG